TGAACCTATCTAAAGCTTAAGTTTATTAAAATGGTTCTTAATAACTGTATTAATTCTAACTTTTCAATAAATTCTTCCAATTCTGGATCAAGCTTTTTAACCAATGGAAAAACATGCAATAATAGATATGATGTTTCCTCCATGGTTGGCTTTAGAAATTCTTTGAGATGATGTAATGATAGATGCTTCATTATACTGTATGCTTCTTTTTGTCCAACTTCTATAAGAAAAGTGACAGCGACATCATGATAACCCTGCAATAATAATCAAATAATATTTGTTATAATAATAAATATTGTACACAAAAAAAATCTTAAATCCATAGTAAATTAAACAAAATTATTTTAGTACTTATTGAAAAATTAGAAATTTAATCTGATATAAGTTAAAGACTTTGTAACATTTTGAATTATTATTGCTATCATTAACCATGTTTTTATCAAAATATTCTAAAACAAAAACAAATAAATTGAAATATGATCTGATTAAAATCAATGCAAAATTTAAAAGTATTTGACAATTCATGTAGATATTCAATAAGTACTCAATACTAGAGAGTCTTGATAATTGGAGTAAATTAATTACTTGGTAATATTTTAGGTCTGGATAATCTTTAATTACACTCAAGATAATTGCTATTAATTCTTTTTGCAATATACCAATTTTCTCATATGATATACCAGGCGGAAATCTTTTTAAGCACCTCCTCACATCCATATCAACTTGATGGTATTCAGGATGTTCCTTAATAATTTCCAATGGATATATCTGTTCATCATTATTCGGTAAATTTAATAACAGCTTCCATGCTTCTGAACGTACTAAACCTGTTTTTTTTTTTTTAAACCAACCATATTATTTAAACTCACAGAAAAACTTATAGAATTTACACTAATAACAATGTTATTCAATACATAAAAACTAATACATGTTTTAGAATTTTGTACAGTGTACAAGTTTGTTGTACCATATTAATGATTAGAGATTGGAGTTTGTAACAAATCCAATTCTGCAKATTTTATAGATTTTTATTGCATATAAATCCGAGCCCTAGGTTATTATTTAAAAAAAGTAATTCTTCAAGATTGTATTTAATATATTTCTCAGAAGATAAAATCAATTCTTTTAGGTTTTATTTTTCAAGCTTGATTAAGTCTGAATGTGCTATTATTAGTATCTCAAGATTTCACTAATTAATGCAAAATTCATTATTTTATATAATTGACTAAAAACAACTTATTTAACTAATGCGCCCACATTAAACAATAACTAAATGTGCTTAAACATATATTGTTCTTAACATTCATGATTAAAATTAATAACATCATGAAATAACTGATATCCTAAAATAATAAATGATAAATCTATGCACACCTGTTTCATATTGTATATTTTCTTATAGAATTATACATATATTATTATTTATTATTAATTATTTAATTATTTTCTTCTAGTTTATGTTGATAAATTTAATACTGCATTATTTTTTTAAAGTTAAAAACATTCCATGGAATTTTATTATGCTAATTATAGATGATAAATCAGAGTTTAGCTACAACTTATTAGTTAGGCATGGATTAATGTAAATGGCAACACTAGATACAAACCTTAAAGTATTTTAAACGTTCTACTTAATTAATATATTATAGTATGCTTTATATATTGTTTAGTACCAATAGTACCTAATTTTTCAGTATCTACAATAATAATTTTAAAATCACATTTAAAAATAATATATTTGTTAGTTTACTTATTGTACCCTTTAAAAAGTTTATGACTATTTTTGTGTGAAWGTTATGTATAAATCATTTACTTACTTATCACCAATCCTCCTTCACTAATCGCTAGATTTCTTAGACGATCTATATCTTGGTTTGTACTTTGCAATATTTTATTCAGTTCATCTACTTTGTCTTTATAGTTCTCAGGAACTTCGTTCATAACTGTAAATTACAATTACAATCAATTATTAATACAATTTTAAATATTTTAAGTATGAAATAGGAGTGACTTGTATATTTCAATAAATTATTGGGTGAGAGGAATAGGGTTATATATATATATATATATATATATTAGCCTAGCATGTACTTTATATAATATTATATACACAATTTGAAACCAATTACCTAATTTAATATAAAATTAATGACAACTAAAATGAAAAGTACATTTTGAAATGATAGCAGTTATTAAAATAACAACTTATTATTCAACTGCACTGACGTCCATGCGTGCGCAAAATCTATAACACTTATAGCGATTCTATAGGGGTCCATTAGTACTACTCGGCCGAGGTCCAAAACATCTGCATATCTGGTTGCCGCATTTTTCTATAGAATATTTAATCTGTGATTATATGGAGTACCAGTCAGGGAAACTTCTCCTTAAATTTTAAGTTGTAACTAAATATCTGAATTATCATTTATAAATAGCACAATCAAATTATTTAGAATATTTTTAGCTTTGACAAAATAATGTAGCATCAACTTTTATAAATAAATGCCAAAAGAAAATAATTAAAAGACAAATAATATTTCATGTTATTATACGATTTTGTCAAACAGATGTGCATAGATTTACCATTAACTATTTTAGGATTTAAGTAATTCATCATATTATTAATTTTATTCATGAATGTTCAGAATAATTTGTTTTTAAGCACATTAAATCCTTGTTTGTTTAAAGTAACTGTATTAGTTAGATAAGTTGTTTATATTTACTAATGTAAGCTTCAACAACAATAATTATTTACATTTAGGCTTTATAAAACTTAAAATAGAAAACCWAGAAMATTTAATTTCATCTTTTGAGAAAAATATGTTGACTATTTTTGATATCTTGAAGGATTATATTATAATCATAGTGATAACTAAACAATGATAAAAAATAAAATTCCATAAGTGTAAACAATTATACTGAATGACTTCTCTAAAAGCCTTGAAGAACGGTTTAATTTAATTGAAGACAAAAATAGAAAATAATTTTGAAGATACTTCCCAAACAACTTAATTGCTGTAATGTTGTGACACACAATAAATATCAAAATGAAAGTTGGGCCAAAAAGGCTGATGGGGGTGATTAAAGAGAGAATATTAAAACAAGAATTCAGTTTAACAATAAACACTTGATTATTAATTAGAATGCATGTTCACTAAATACATATTATACATGTTTTTTTTGCATACAACTAGTGGCGGATTTAAGCAGGGTGGCAGAGAGGCCTGGCCTCCCCCCCTTGACCCATAAGATGTATAAGAATATAACTTTGACGTAAAACTTATAATCACGATTCACAAAAAAATTAGGTTTCTGATTTTGTTTTGATACTTAATATTTAATTATATTATAATTTATATTTATAAGTCAACCATGAAAGCTGCTATAATGTAACGTCTTATCTTGTAGTGATGTAAAAAAATATCCCTCCCCCCAACAAAAAAAACAAAATCCTAGGTCTGCAACTGCATACAACTATCATATATGTTAAAAGAACTCGCATTAAATGTTTTTTTTTTTTTTTAAAACATAGTGTTTATAGGAACTATTTGATAATTTTGCCAGGTATGTTCCAATTTTCCAAATGAGTAATATTATGGTTTATACTTAATTGTTAACTTAAAAATTAAGTAAAACATGCAACAATTCAATAACATAATGTGGAYATCTAGTTTGCATTAAAAAATCCTTGTATGGACAACATGATTAAAGATAAAATAATAAGATTATTTCATACACCTGGATATCATAACAAAATAGTAAAACATTCTTTGTTTTGTAATCACAAATTGAAATATTTACCATTGAAGGATTCAGAACATTTATTTTATTAAGAATACTAAAAGTAGGTATTCAAATATTATTTTGTGTTCRATTTCAATTTTTCTAATTATTATGAATTTATTTTTTTTTTTAAATATCTTATTCAATATTTTATATGACTTATTTAAAATAGGTAAGTAACATATTTATTTAAGTTGCAATTTGTTTATAAGTTAACTATAATTGTTTTTAAAATTATGTTTATGTCAAAGATTGTTAAATTTATTCAAATAACAGTAAACAACTCTCTTAAACTAATTTAACATGTTTACTGCTTGAAAAGGTATGAGAGGAATACTTGTTAACTGTTTAAAGTTAAGTATCAACTGTTAAGTGTATTAAATAATATGTAATAAGATGCCTATCAATATAATTATTTTGTACATATTGTTATTTGTCAATGTATAGCAGTTTATACATAAAAACCTACTAAATATTTTTTTATGTAAACCTTTTAGAAATATCTGTTTCATATTGTTCCTTATCATATAATTCGTTCAATTCAATCAAATCTCTTATTAGATACTAGCAACTCTATAAATATAGTGAATAGTATTATATAACTTGCCACGAGACATTTACTCAACTTTCAGTTAACAAATAATTTATAGCAAATATTTATTTAACAGAAATGGAATTAACTAGGTCCATGACCCATCCAATCATGAAAAATTATATAATAATAACAAAAAATAAAATAATCTCATGTTTTATTGGATTTATCGATGTGAAACATAGATTACTATGAAAAAAACCAGAAATTAACTTAAAATTTCTAGGGTTTTATTAATGGCATATGCGTCCACATAAATCTTAATTAAACAGAAATACACATAAAAGCAAAAAAAAACATCAAAAATAAAATAACGAAAATAAGCATTTTTTAAAACACTTTCAAATTTCATAATTGAACATATTGTAACA